ACAATAAAAGAATAAGTACAGTCACTGTCAAAGAATACATATTTTGAGAAATAATTAAACAATGAAAGCCAGGAATTTACAATTTATACATGAATAAAAGAAAGGAAATACACGGAAAAAACTAAATTTTTATAACAACGCAAAAATTATATTTTCCGATTGTAAATGACTGAATTTTCCGTAGAAATAGTAGAATTTATTAAGTAACTTGTAATTATTTCAATTTTCACATGTTTTTTCAAGTTTCTTAATTATTACAATTTAATTTGTAATATAAACTAAAATAGTGGAAAAAATTGCAAATATCGCTTTAATATTTAGGTAAATTTTCATTTTCTCCGTGTAGAATCGCCTTTTACACAATTCACTCTTGGACGTTTTGAACACTAGTACTAATTGTAAAACCCTAAAATTAAACAGAATGTAATCGCAGCTGTTTGTAAACGCATTGTTAAATTGAACGCGAAGCATTGTTACTGTCATTATTATTACACTTTGTTGTCATTAACGTAGACAAAATAACTGCCTGCCTACCTGATCGGTTAGTTCATCCATTACCGTTAATCACTTGTCAGTTTATTGTTATCCAATGCCGCCCGAGATACGTCCTTTATGATGTTTTTTGTCGGCATTTGTTAAAACACATCGACGCATCCGAAGAACACGAATAAATGATTTTAGTATACATTCGCGGTTTAGCGTGTGTGTGTATATGCTAAATTGACTGACTTAATACAAGCCAACGATACCGAGATAGGATCTTTTCCAGTCGTTCGAACCTTTTATTAAAAAATTAAATTAGCAGAACTTATCCGGAGATATAATTAAATACCAGTACGGCAAACATATATATGTACTTCAGTATATATAAGAAAGTATAAAAACTAATTAATTTACAGTAATTTACAGTAGAACGCGAATAAAGGAGACTGCTTCAAGTTCCGAATAAAACCCCATTTTAATTCACGTAATCATAAAGTGGCCAAAGTTATGCTTAATCTGGCAAATTTGCATAACCGTTTTACTAATTACGACCCTCTTATTCAACACCTTATTTTTATACCAATAACTATAAACACTAGTGGCGATTTGAGAATGGAACATAGAGATATTCTATTACATGCGATCATTAAAACGCGACATCGTCTTTTAGAAAATACATATTAACACATATGTATATAGAATGCACCAGATACTGATAACCGAGTGCCCGGCAAAACCACAATTGTTAATGGTTCATGTCTTCTCGTACAGACAGGTTTTCCATTAAATGTCACCCTCACCAACGTTCCAACTCACATTAAATTCTTTTAAACAATAAACCAATGAAATTTTAATTTTTGGTTAGCGGATTTCAACGGGAGGGTCGAGTTAAAACCGTTGAAACAAACCTATAGTTGGGACGTTCAAAATTGGCATAATCCGCAATAAAACTGTCGCATTTACTTTCCTCTTTTAACGTACTAATTAGACTAGAGCGGTTACTGATAGAACGCCTACTTTTATTCACGACAGACGTTGTATGCAGGTCCGCGGCTAGCCGCCTGAGCACCCGCGTGCAATAAAAGTTATGCCGTCCAAATCTAGGAAAGAAATTGTTAATTTGCCGCCCCATTGAAGGTGACGTCAGCGTGCGACGCACGCCCTGCTTGTATGTAAACACAGAAAAGAGATGTCAGGTAGGAATTGCAGCGGACACAAATAAATAAAAAGGAATAAAAGAAAATACTACAAATGGCGCAGTAAACGCCATCTGTAGCACGATGCTACATTTTAGGATTACGTATGCTCCAACAAGGTCCACTTGTGTGGATATCTACTTGCTGAAAACGAATCCCGGCGTAGCCAACCTCAACGTGATATGCACGTTAGCTTAATCGAATAAAATAATTCGAAGTGGTCTNTGAAAGATGGGACCAGGTGTCCTGATGTTGTGATCGGAATGCAGTTATATCCCTGGTGATGATGTGATACGATGCGGTTTGATGATACGTTTTCTGGTTTTTGATGATGTTGATACACTGATACACAAATTGTATCCGGCTCGAAGGACCACTGTTTTTTACGTTTTTGCACTGCCGTGCCACTTCTTTTGTTCGAAATAAAACTCGAACTGTATTTTTATGTTTATTAATAAATAACTTCACTAAAACTAGTTAATAATTAATATTAATAATAATGATACTGCTTATGTTTATGTTGATCAAATATTTGTGATTTGTTATGTGATTTGATGATAAATTGATTACGTTGACAGATTGTTATGACTGTTCAAAGTGCAATGATATCTTCCATATTTAAAGTTTCTCGTTTCCCTACTACTATTTTCACTTCAAGGGGGTGGTAACGGTACCTGCTTGGGTTTCACAGAAGTAACGTTTCAAGGCTATTTGTTAATGTTTGAATATTAATTAAGGGTGAGTATTGAAATGGTTACTTATGGTATTTACAACCCAAGCAGAGCATGGGCTAGGGCAATAAACCGCTGTATCCAAAAGCGGTCAAATAACAATGAATTCAACATTAACAATATTTACGTATCTCAGTTTTATAGTGTTTAACACATTATTTTGTCAGTCAGAAACAGTTTCAATGTTTTTACGGTTTCATAGCAAAAAGATAAGAATAGGAACCCTTGTAGTGAGACACCGGTATCCGTCCTCCTCAGAAACTAAAGAGTTGAACGTTGGCACAGTTGTAGATAAGTACTTGATCTAATCTATTGCTAATCAAATTAATTTTTTAAAAATATTTTAATGAGTATAAAATGAGTGATCGCTGACATTTGCAGCGACGAGGAATTTAAAATAATTTGGTAATTCACGATAGAGAGCTTTTGTAGATATTACTGGAGCATCGGGGGTATAAAAAGCTTTCGGGGTGTTGAACCGCCACCGCAGGCAGACATTTATGACAATGCCTATGTATATCACTTATGGTATTTTAGTTTAACTTTATTTTCTTTTAATATATATAACTTAAGTATCAAGCTGTACGGTAGTTTCGGACTTATTTTCAGTCTTTGACCTTCACCTTAATGTGTGAACGTCTAAGCTTTGTAATAATTACTTATTTATATTAAATTCTTTTATCGTAATTAGATTATTTATTCATAGGGTAGGTTATGAATTTATTTGTATAAAGAGCAACAATCAGAAGAGCTTGAGCAACAACGTAGAGAAATACATATTAAGAGGGGAGTCAGATCCAACTGTTATTGCTACCTTTTTATCTATGCGTCTAAGACGCGATCAACATCATTAAAGACAGGACAACTGTAAGGATAGATGTATAAGGACAAAAGGAAAGGTTAAAAGCGTTCAAAATGTGGTGTTACAGGCGAATAATAAGGATAGAGGAGCTTAGAAATGATGAGATATTAGAAAGAATAGAGAGCAGAGGACTCTATGGAAGTCAGTAAGAAATAGGCGAGATAGGTTGGTAGGACACCTTCGCAAGCATGAAGGGTTACGTTAGAGATATATTAGAAACAGAAACTGGAGGTACGAGCAGAAAAGGTAGACCTATATAAGATTACTGTTCACAAATACATAGTTAAGGATGTCGAATGTTCTAGTTTTAGGGAAATGCGAAGATTAGTTCTAGATAGGAAAATGTGGTATTAGGACTGACGACCTTGTGATGATGATGATGAATTAGTAAGTTGGCAGATATGCACTAGGCCATAAATACATTTAGGTTAGAAATTATACAATTCACAACGTTTGTACTCCACTGCATTACAATACAGTCAAACGGTAATACATCTTTATGTTAATTTTTGAAATTAGCATTTCTTTCAGAGACTCCTACACTGAACTGAAAGTGGTGGTTTATTCGATATTTTTC